TGAATGAGCAGCAGAGGAAGTGACCTGTATTTTCATGCATATGTGCTGTGTATCAGCTGAAGTACAGGCTACTGTGGGACTTGTTAGCAAACAGCAGTGCTTTTTCTGACAGTGCAATAAACTGGACTGGGGAACATGTATCAAAAGGGTAAAATTTCTTCTGGGCTTTGTTCTCTTTCAGACCCTGACTTCCTACTGTGGTTTGTGTATGACTTTGGTCTTTTACTTACATTGATTACTTGACCATATAGAAGACAGTTCACTTAGCATCAGCAGTTAGGGGCGTGCAAACCTCTGCTTTGTTTGAAAAGACAGAATTTAGGGAGAGATTTTTTTGGTAAAATATCAAAGAAGATTATTTTTTTTATTAACTTGAGTATTTTCTCCTTGAATTTCATAAAAAATAGCTGACACTGACCATGCATCTTCAAACCTTTTCTTCCCCCTTGCACTTTTTATGATTTTGTGTGACACAAAAGCGATAACAGGAGTGAAGAATATGACAAAGTATGTAAGAGCAATGCCTGTTCCCTTCTCTGAACAGCAATCTATCAGATACACTGCCAAAAGGAAGACATTTGTGGTGTTAAATAGAATGTTCACAATTTCACGGGACCTATGCCTCTAGGCAAGAAAATGATCTAAAGGTATTCACTGTAGTAGAAGGTGACCATAAAACTACTCACTTTCGAACTAAGAAGCACTAAATCTTGTCTTGGTATTTGCAGTAATTTCTTGACATCCGTACTCATTGCTGAACAGAAATACTTAACAAAAAAACAAAAAAAAAAAAAAAAAAAAAAAAAAAAAAAAAAAAAAAAAAAAGGCATTCACCAGAAATTTTTGTACCAAATGAGAACACAAGTGAAGAAAGGAGGAATAATGTGATTTCTTCTCTCTTAAAATATTTTAAAGTGTTCAGACAGTGATAAAGACTGCATGAATTTTTCCCATCCCTTTTATGTTACTGTGTAAGAGTTTTTAGCTATTTTTAACTGATTCTGAATTGTCTTCTATATAGCATAACATAAGTTTAGAGAGACGTTTTAACGCCAACCTTAAGAACAACTGCTCTTATGAGTGTGACAGTCTGTGGCAAAAATGAGAGGACAAGTCCTAAACTGGCTGGTTCTGAGCTCTCTACACCTGTGTGGAGATTAACCTTGAAACAGAAATGATTTAGACTGAAGAATGCAGCAAATTTCCCTCCTTAGGCTATCATACACCAGGTGAGACACTAAGTAAAAGAATAGCTATATTTACATGCCTGATGACATGCAAGGCTGGAGAGTAAGTGGCTAAACTCTTCCCTCTTTTATTTTGCTTTCTGCAATTTCATTGTTAGAATCATTTGAGAAACAACTTGTGATGATGGGTTATCTTTCTTCATAACTTCAAACATATATGCTCTGGCATACAAAGGTTGTGCTTGCATCACGGGAAGTGTGTTAAGTTTCTGGGAAATCTGCTAGATGTAACAAATAAATACTTGTGAATTGTTTATTTACACAGTGTGTAAAACCAGGCCATATACATTTTTATTTGCAACTAGAAAGTGAATTAAGTTCATGACTTTTAAAAGCCTTCAAACAATTGGAATTTGTATTACTATAATAAGCATAAGAAATGTTTAAATGTGTTCTACACTACACCAAGACTGTCAGGCACTCAGCATAGTAAATTTTTCAGATTCCAATCCTGTATTTCTGAACTCAGCATCACAGCACTGATGTCTCAGGCCTACAGCCTGTTGTGTTGATTTTACAGAATTGTGGATTCTATGGGTTGTTACCTTCTGGTTTTGAAAGGGTGAATATTTTAGAAGGGCTAGTTTTACTGTACTGATAGTCTCCACACATTTGTTATAAATGACTTTTTTTATTCTTTAATCTTGAAGATTTCTTCTGAGCAAAGATGACATAATCTTGAGGGACTGTTTTTTTGTTTGTTTGTTTGTTTTTTTTCTATAATTTTAAGAAGCCCTCTGTTCTGTTTGCATTTAATACTACCATTTGGCATCTCTTTAATTGCAGTTTACTCAAGCAAAGAGTCTTTCAAAGAATAGTTTTGGAGAGTGGCAATATCTTATTCTTATATCTTTTCTTATTTCAAATAGTATTTTCACATTCCATAATGTTCTCTATTCAGCAATATCAAAGTGCATTGTAAATATAATTAGAGAAATTTTCTTAAAGCAGTTTTTAGGCTGATAAACAGAAGTATAGAGAAGTAATTTTCCTAGTGCTACAGAGAAAGTATTTGGGGAATGTAGCACAAGACACTTGACCTTATTTTTTTTCCCTTGCTTTTTTTTTGTCCCTGAGTTATAGGCAATATTCCATACATCTTAGAGTATGGAATAAGAAATGCATGATTTTATTTCCCTTCCACCTTCATTAAACTCTTTTCGTGATGAGAAACTTATAGCCATTATCAAAATGTTATTATCAAAAGTAATCAGAATCATCAAACAGACCCACTCTTTAGGGGGAAAAAATAGTAAAAAGTAAAGCTATTTCAAGTGTTTTAGAGCTTAATTCCTTTATTTCTCTTTTTGCTTGTGACCAAAGGAAAGTTTTATTATACTTAGTAGCAATTTTATCAAAAAATAATTCTCTTTTCTGTGTTTCCTTGCCCATAGTTCATCTGTTCTGGATTAGTGAGTTGTCAGTATTCTCTTAGTTGTATGCAGATGTACTGAAGCAAGGGGATATTTTCAAGTCTGCTTCTACATTGAAGTAAATCCTTCTTGCCATTTAATTCAAACAAAAGTAAAATCAAATTAAAGGACAAAGAAAACCCAAGTTCCAAAACCCTTAGTAAATAATACAAATATTATGAATACATTTTTAAAGGTTGAATAAAAATTAAAGTTACAGATTGTGTAAGGTTCTAAAGTGCTCCAGAAAAATGTGTAGTTCCATTGATTCATTCTCAATTGCAGAAACGCTTCAAGTTGAGGTGATATTTAAAAGCTGTGTGTGTAAATAGGTCTTGAACAAGATAAAAACCATGAAAGGTCTAAAGTCTTGTCTAAGGATGACTTTAAGCATATTTTCTTGTTTGGAACTACTTCCTGATGTAATGAAACAGGACAGAAAGATGATTTAGTTTATAAAAAAAAATGTTAGCTCTATGTAAATATGCACAGGTGATTACTTCAAAAATTTTGTGAACGTTTACTTGGTTTTAAAAACAACCTTGCCTTTAAACTAGACTCTTAACACTTAGTTCTCTTAAACTCGTACTAACGCATGCTTCACACAATGAGTCCTTAACTTATACTGGAGTGTGAATATTTTATTTGTGTTGTATCGCATATATGAGTGCTTCTCTGAGAAGCATGATTGACTAACCTAGGAGGAAGGTTGTAGTAATACTTCTCATATTCCAGTTACCAGTTTCCACCTTAGAGGTATTACTGGGTAGTACTGTATTTGTCTTATGTAGAAATATACAGTATACCTAGAGGATCACCACTGAGAAAAAAAGTAACTGGCAGTTGTTTTGCAGACAAAGAGATCCCTATTGCAAGCCTCAAGGCAGTGAGAAAACAAGAGCTTGTTCTGGACTGATTTTAGTACAGTACTGTAGTAAATCTCAGTGCAATGTTGTATAGAGGGCAGGATGATTTTTGTATCAAACAAAATTGATTTCATTCAGCCGCACTCTTTCTTTTGTATTCATATACTAATAAGCACTAAAGTATGTGTCCAGGTAGTCTAACTAGGAACTTGGAGTGACATAGGAAACTCCACCTAGCAAGTCTTTTTCATGGCTTTTGGGTTGTTATTAATGCTGGGTTTTCAGTTTAGACTTTTTGGTTTTAGACTTTTGCACCCTAAAGAAGTTGACAGTAACTGTAATATTTTTTTATTTCATTCTGTCACACCTCTAAGTCACTAGGGAATGCCACTGATTTATTCACAGTCTCTGTGTCTTTTTCTCTCGCTGCAGTTTATTTCTTTTTCTTTTTTCCTTTTTTTAGGAATTTTTTTTCCCAGTCTGGGTGTCTTGAAAATCGTCTGTGATCTTAATAAGTCTGTTGTTCTTCTATGACTTTTTCTCATAATTTCTTCTGATGCTTTTAAACCCTTACCTTCCAATTCACACTTCATTTATACCAGTTTTCATGTTTTCATTACATATCTCCACAATTTGATACTGGGAAAAAGGTCTCATAGGAACAAAGAAACTGCAAACTGTAATCTGTGGCTCCTATTGCAAAGCACATCTTCAGACTACTTTTATTTACATGTGCATTGGACATTTAAAACAATCTCTTATAACAAAACCTTATCAAAGCATAACGTGATTGGTATGGCTTTCCCTGGGGTGCAATAGAAAAGAGAATAAAACATACAGTTATGTCAAAAGCATTATGCTAATGAAAGCAGTCTAAGAGGCTGTAGACCAGTATGGACTAAAGCAACTTAATTCAAACACAATATAATATATAATAGCAAATGTAATATGTGTACCAAGACAGCTAGAGCTTCCTTTTAACATGTTAAAATTGCATTGTATAGATTTCCAACGTCACCAAAGCAAGACCAGACTTTATTAATTTATAGCTAAAGTTCTGTGTTCTAAAGTTCAGAAAATGGTAACATCTGTAACAAAACAAAACAAAACAAAAAAAGTGTAAATATTAATTTGTAGTGACAATGCTTCCTATTCTGCCTTTGATGACTGTACTTAGATGAAGTCAAGATTAACTAAATTATCTTCTATAAATCTAGAAAATCACAGAATGTCACTGATACCGACTTAGTACACAAGTAGAGATCTTCTTTGCTAGGGAAATCACTGAACAAAATACACAGCTAGACTAGTATTTTTGCAAGAGATTCCTTGTAAACCTTTCCTAATGATTGTCCTCCTTTTCTGTTGGCAGTGGTGATTTGTCTGTTGTCTCAAATGTCAGTTAGCCTAAGATAAAGGGAGGACATGAGCGGCAGGTATGTAATCTTCTCTTTATCTCTCCTTCAATATTTCAGGAGTTTTTCTTTAAATGTGGAGCACACCCAACCACTGACAGTGAAACATCTGTGGCTTTGAACCTCGTTACAACAAACAGTCGCTGTATCACATGTATAACATGCACAGATATTAGGTAAGTACAACAAAAAGTGTCAGAGATGCACAGTCTCAGTGCTTGAGCGTACTTATCACTTTCAAAGCTTTTTTTTCCTCTGCTGGTTTTCCTTTTTAAACATTTTTCCCCCTGGGAAAATAGACCACATTTGCAGGTGTGTTCTTTTTTTTGCTGGTACAAATATTTGATTACAATTTATATTTTTGTACCCGAGTTGAGTTGCAGGTGGAAATCTGACTGCTAACTACAACCTGAAGTGCTCAAAATAGTGGCATAAGTGTGTAGAACTTTGCTGCTAATCCATATTTAAGAGCCAGGGAAAGAAACCCCAATTTTGAGCGGGACAAAGTGTTTCTGCAGAAAGGAACCCTTTGGTGTTTGTTTTATAAATCAAAGTGTAATTTCTTATGATGCATCTGTTCTCCTGTTCTTGTTTATTGCGGTTTTAAATACTGTAATCCATCTTCCTGGATAGTGTTTGGACATATACGTTCAAGAATACCGTTACTTGCAAATGCATGGATTAAAAACCAATTGCCTGAGAAAGACAGTGAAGAATTACTTGAAACATATTTACCTACTGTTTAGGAGACATTTTGAGGTGGAACCTCAAAACTAATAACACCATGTTATATGTGCACTGTAAGTACTGCTCTATATTTTGCAATAGAAGAAAGAATTTAGAGAAATCTTATAGGATAGCAGGAAGTATGAATGAAAGTGTTAGGAGACATCTTTTGGGGGAAGAAAAGCTGGATTCCTGGAAGTAAAATTCCTGTTGAAAATAGTAGGTGGTGGTTCTGATTCTATGCCAGATCTAGCGTCGGGTTTTTATGTCGTGCTTGTGCGCTGCTGCTTTGATAGCTGCTGATTGCTTGCTGACAGTCTTTGGCTCAAGTCTTATTTAGAGATTAAATGATAATTGTGTGTTGAAGAAAAAAGTATGGTGTCCATCACTTCCCATATACACAGCTTTTACAGCATTGCTGTGTGTTTCTTTCAGAGGCTACCTTGCAGGCAGAATTACTTAGATAGCTCATCCCTAATGGTTAGGTAAGCAGCAGTGTTAGCCTCTCTGTAATTAAGCATAATATGAAGTTTCCATTTTGAGGCCAGCTTTCACCCTATCCCAAGACCAAGAGGGAGAAATATCAGCCATAAACATGCTTACTTAGGCTTGAGAACTGGTTTTAATTATTTCTATCAAATTTGAAATGGATATGTTGACATTTTCCTGAATTGATACATTCAGTACAGATCTACTCACCCATATTCATGAAGTTGTAATTTTTTCCTCTGTTTTGTGGCAAAATCCCAAAGAAAGGAAAGAGGAAAGACTTAATTTTCTGGATTTGCTTAGCTGAACTGTTCCCAGAACTATGGCCTCCTAAACTTTACTAGTAAAGTTCAGTGGGATTATTTATTGACATGTTACAAAAGCATATCAATTCTCGTTAATTTAAATTAAGGCATCAAAAAATCATTGGAGACCAAAGTTTCAGTAGATTTTTAGCTCATCACACAGTCTGGGAATATTTATTTATGAATAAGCTTGTTGGGTTTATACACTGAACAGGGAAGGAAGACACGTCTTCCTGTTGGCCTCATGCTTTTCAGATTCTTTCTAGCTTACAGGACCCCTTCTGAGATGCCATTATGTGATATTAAAGTATTGTATTTCTAAAAGTTTGTAGGAGTTCTGACTGAGTACCCTAAGACACAGGGTAGGATTTGGGTGCCTGAGCATCTGACAAGGCACTAGGAATTCCTAGTTATGTATCCGTGATGAGGACAACAGGTTCCCCATCATGGTTGAAGTTCCTCATACACATAATAAGTCTTTCAGTCTTCTCCTTCTTTTGCACAGCAGGTTAATTTGATCATAAATAGGTTTGTCTTCTGTTAAGGTTCAGAGAGATAGTTTTTAGATAATGAAATTTCATTTTAGTTTTCTGAATGGCTGACAGATTTTATTTGATCATAGCATGATCTCTGAAGTCTGTGGCATGAGAAGAGGATTAGATGGCAGATATTACAAAACCAGCCTACAGAGCAGTTGTATCCCCTTCAGTTTCCAAAAAGTGAGGGGAATACTCGTCTGACCCAGTTTGTCTTGTAGACCATGGAATTAATTGTTCAGCAGTAGGCAGTGAAATCAGTTATCCCAAGAGTGAGGATAAGAGTACTTCAGCAGCCTTCTTGCAATTTTAAAGGTTGTAAATGAACTAATATATTTATGTAGCTAGAATTTGACTTATCATACTTCATAGAACCATATGTGTAGGTTTTCTCTCTTGTTCAAGTGATGCAGTAAAATGATGAAGAGGATATGCTCTCTTCTGCCTTACTGTATATGTCATAAGATTTTGTGGGTGATCTCTGTTCTCCTGCACGCCTCCTAGTCTCCTCCCACCTATGTGCAGGTCTCATATACTGGCCTGTGAAATCAGCAGGAAGTAGGCATTATTATTTCAGCTCCTCCTCTCTTTCATGAAACTATTGTATCTTGACTCTGCCTTAGTGAAGATAGCACTGTTTCTTACATGAAAGTGTATACTGAAGAGAATTATGAAATGATAGTTGTTGGTCAAAAGAGAGAAGTTGTAAGGAGTGCTTGAATTCTGTACTGATTCTTATGGTGTGTCTTCTGGAAAGAGTTGATTTCAGCAGCATCCTCTGTGGTGTATTTACAGAACTGGCTCCTAGGTACAGGTTAAAGGCCAAATATCAGTCTCTGTCAAATTTGTACCTTGGCATTTTGGAGTAAGGATGCAGACTAAACCACTTAAAAGGGGCTAATTCTCCTGTCCCTTCTAACAATTCACTGGGCAAGAGGAATGATTTGACTTACTGCAGGGCAGAGCTCTAGTATGTGTCTGTACTGCTGAATGAGAAAGGGCCAACAGATGATCTCTGATCCCAAGCCAAATGGCAATGACTGACCGATATCCTACACAGTACTGTGATAGGTAGCCTGATTCTTTGTCACAGCCAGCTTGGGATAATCTTGAGGCCGAAACCCATTTCTGAAACTAGATCTTTATCCTAGTGGTAAGGTGGCATGGAAAAGGGTTATTCATGTCCTAGTATTCCATGTGTAGGGCTTGGGAGGTATCAAAAGAGCTCACCAAACACTGTGAAGTACAATGAAGGGGTAAAACTGCTGAACTAAACAACTCAGCTTCATGGGATGAACAGTACCTATCTCCAGGAGCTGTGCCCACTGAGTTCTCAAGAACTCGTAAGTCTTTCTAGAGTTCAGGAAAAGTTGTTCCTTCCTGACAATTGACTGTGTTTTTATTAAGTCCTTTCTATTAAAAAAAAAAAAAAAGAAAAAAAAAAAACACAAAACCAAATAAAACCCCACCCTTATCTAAAAACTCCTTCTCTAGGCAACAATAAAAGAACAAAGATGGAAGAAAATTGTTCTGTCTCATCATGTCAAAATATTGATACACATTTCTGTGATAACTCTGAAGTTTTGAGAATGTGTCCATAGATTAAATGTTCATTATCTTTCAGAAGTTTGATTTTTAAGGCCACAAAAGTCTGTTATGCAGTTTTGTGTAATATTTAACATTTACAGGTGATACTGATGACTCAGGTGCCAAGAAGACCTTACTCTCATTTTTTGTATGGCAAATCTTTCAAATTGTTAAAATGTAATTTCACATGTATCTTTGAGTGAATGAAATAAATTTCCAATTAAAGCTGGGAAATAAATTAGTTTAGTTTCTATTCCTGATTTTATTTTTTTTCAGTTGCAAGGATGATGCAAAAACCTAGAGATTGGACACTGAAGTAATTTATCAGTGCTCCAAAAAGGCCATAGTAAATTCTTGGGATATTTATGAAATCTCTGCTCAGTTTTTTCAATTTCTATTTCTTTTCTCCAACCTAGCATTCTTGGAATATTTACATATAACTCAAAGAAATTACACAAATATCCATAACCTTTTTACTTTAGTTAGACATTTAGATGAGTATATGTATATGTGCTGGCAATTACTTTCTAATACTTCTATGCAGTTGAAAAGTAGCATCCAGGGCACTTTGCAGTTGGTAGTATTTTGTGAAACCTGCTTTCATCATCCTGTAGCATTCAGGTGGAAAAGAGGTATGGCTGTATTTGGTAGATTAACTATTACTTTGTATTAGCTTCACTACAGTAAAATGAACAATTTGTGTCTGTTCTTCAAAATATATTTTTCTTCTTCTTTGCTGAAAAAAATTAGGCAGGAAAAGATGACAGCCGGATGCTATTTACATATTTCTTAAATATGATTTTCCACAGCAAGATATACCATTTCCCTAGTTTTTTCCATCCGTTTATCATGGACAGTTAGTCCACCACAGGTAGAGCACCTAAGCTTCAGGATTCTTGGCATGGCATATGTATGGTTTTAGCAAAGTTTGCAGAGCTCATAAAAATGTTATTTAAAGCAGTACTGTTGTCTATCGTACATAGAAAAATACAAAGTGGAAGGAATGTTTAAGCCTATTGCCAATTTTTATTCTCAAGCTTACATTAGGCAATTTCTGTTTGCCTTGGGTTTATATTTGATATATTTTCGTGCAGCTCTGACCAACAGAGTGAAATACTTCAGAGCCAAATACCTTGTAGGGTTATGCTAAATCCATAGGCAGTATTCCATGGAGTGTAATGCCTTCCAATGTATTCTGCTTATCTGCAGCAGAGTTAGTGTGAATTTGCAGCCTTTATGCATTTCTTTGGTAGCATTCAAGGAGATGGGTTGCTATTTTATGTCTTTGCAGAAGCTCTTAATAGGTTGAGCAAATGGCTGAAAGTTGAAAGAAATACTAAAACTGCACAGTCCTCAAGGAGAGATTTTCTATTGTCAACTGTTTCCAGTTGAAATAACATGCAAAGGGGTTAGGAGTACCCCAGAGGACCCATAAATCAGGCTCAGGAATAACAGCAGTGTTAAGCAGTGTAAAAATAAAATGTGCACAACAGAAGTGCCTCACGTTGTCTTTCACAAACTAGGTAGGGTACA